TTTAATTCAACGTAGGGTTTGAAAACTAAATTGCTAAGTGCCAGCTATTTAAAAATAATTGTTTATTTAAAAAATAATGTTAAAGGAATATAATTTCTACCTTTATGTCTCTTGAAAAAAAGAGAAGGGGGTGGTCATTGTTGATAACAGTAAAATGAGGAAAGACTTTTTTTTTTTTTTTACAAGAATGGACAGTGTTTTTCTGTAATTTAATTATCAACGAGCACAGCTGGAAGATAGGCCTAGACAGAAGGTAGGGTAGACTGAGGCTGAAACACAGACAGTCTCAGAAGAATAGTGTGGGTGATGGATATCTAGGATGCTTCTGGCACAGCCCTTAAACTGAGAAACAGGATCAGCGAGACACTGATTTTATATAACCCATAAATACAAATGACTAGCTTTCTTCCTCAAGGTCACTGAACATATACAGCACTTTCAGACATCACGTGGGTTCAGTGAAAGAGGGACAGATCCCCAAGTTAGCTCATTTAATGATATCTCTTGCCTCACAATCCCACCACACTAATTATTTCCACTTTTGTTTTAAAGCTTAATATTCTACTAATTGACAGAAATTTGTGCTAACAGTAAAACATGTTTGTTTTTAATGCAGATTCCTCTTTAAAAGGGGTAAAAGGGCTATAGTTACTAACACTTTAACATGAATTAGTTAAAGCAAATTTCTTTCTTCCTAACATTTGAGATAAGTTATACTTTGGAAGTGTTGATAAGGAAGACTGGGGATAGAAAGCAGGTAGGAAGGTGTTGGGGAACGTAAAGGAGAAAGTATGTACCTGGGCAGGGTGGGCTCCTGGTATCACCTCGGAAGAAGTGTACTAAGCAGTATTGAGAGATCAAAGCAAGCTTTCTCCACTAGAAAAATTTATCCAAACCAAAACACCTAGATACTACAGTACACTAGATCAGCTCTTGTTAGCTAACCTGTTACCCTTTTATTCATAATAATATTATTTATATAAGGAGATGTAATCTGAGTTTGGAACAACCCAATTGACAACCTTTTAGATCATAGCTCTTCCTGTGTAGAAACTTCATATTTTTATATGTGTTTTCATATTCATATACTTTTGCTCTTATCACCTGAAATAATAAGTATAAGAATCTTTTAATGGAATCTTAAGGAAAACCTGACTGTATAACATAGTAGTACTCATTATTTTAGCATGCCTACCAAGAAGATAAAATTGTGTAATTAACAAAAATTTGAGTCCATATCAGATATGAAGCAGGGAGTTATTTTGCCTTTATATGATATGTACAGACTAATCCTTTAATATAATGGCAACATCTCAGGTTACAAAAGCTTAAAAACTACACAGAGACTCAATGAAAACCTATGTAAATGCATACATTCCAAAAGGTATTTGCTTTAATTACTGAAGTCTTTTTGATAAAATATCTTTGAAAACTGGACAACTGAACAACAGAACAAAGGTTTCTTGACAGACCTGTGGTTATATGTAGTTTGACAAGCTCCTTCATAAAGCCTCTGATAGGTTGATAAGAAGTGTTGGGATGGGAAGTCAATATGTCTGTTCTAAAAGGTCTTTTGTTTGGTTTTTTCTTAAATAGGTATTATGAAATTGTTAACATTTGATCACTTTTGACCAATAAAACCAGCAATTTCATATAGTTTAGAATAATATTATCCAACTATGACCACACAGTAAGCATCTCCTTGGCTTGATTCTCAGAAAGAACAGTTCATCTACAGTAGTTTTCTGTTGAGATGACCATGATAACCTAACATATACAAAACTGTACAATGTTAAGGAAACAAGACAAAACCAAAAAAGGCTCAAAAAACAAAAAGCTCACATTAAATAAATGTGAACTTCAGGTATTGCATATTACAGAAAGTGAAATAACTGATAATTTATTAATTGTAAACACATAAATTTATATAAATCCCCCAATTTCACTATCAGATTAAAACATAACAAAGTTAGTATTTTCTTAATTAAAAAAAATTAAATTAGAAGAAACAGCTTCCACAGCTTTTTCAATGAACAAAATTTGATAATAGCTTTTGAATGTCAAACAAACTTTCATTTTAGGGCTGGGGGAGATGGCTGGTGGTGGTGATATCTTTATCATGCCAAAGTAAATGTCTAAACTATAGTCACTCCTTCATAATGCAATACTTTTAAACTTCAATGCAAAAATAAAACTTAAAAAATAAATTGGGCATTGGAAAATAAAAGCAGAAAAGTTGTTTGAAGTTAGTGTTAAAGCTATGTGAAATGGGGTAATTCTAGAGAAATTAAATTAAAAAGAGATAAATGATAAAGAATTCCGATTTACTCTTATAACTCACAGCTAAGGTAGAAACAGCACCTGATGACAAGAGAATTTCCAGACTAACAGTTTCACATCAATCCTTTTTATGATTTTAAAAAATAATTTTTAAGTTCACATATAAAGAAAATACATTATTTTCAAGTACGTATTCACCTCAACTCAATGTAAAGAACTATTGTGCTGATCTTGTGTCAGAAATATAGAATTATTTCATATTAAATGTTACTGCTGACAAGGGTAGTTCAGGGGGAAATTATCTGAGGCACGGCTAAGGGAATAAGGGAGGACATTTATAAATTTCCTTTTCAAAACTGGGGAGGGGAGAAGTAGTTAGAGAAATAGAAAAATTGTGGATGGATAATATAAATTAAATCACTCTAGGATTATCTGCTTTACTTTATAGAATATCCCATTATCAAAACCCAAAAAATATTCAAAGAAATGTTTGGACATCAGACTCAAGTTTAACAAATGTAACAAAATGTGCAGGGAACTGAAAATAAAGATTATTTTTTTAACCTGCAATCGAAATGTCATGGTAATATAAGCATGTCTGAGTGAGAAAAGCTGGGCATCTAATTTAATTTCTGGAAGCTAGGTGAGTTGCCTGATTTAGTTAACTGACCAAACACAAGGAATCAAGTGTAGCCAAAGAAATCACACCAGAAACCAGTTCACCGTCCTGTATCAACTTTCCATTATTCTTCTCTACCCATCAGACCACAAACCCAATACCTACATTGTAAATCAATAGACGAAAGTGCTCAAGAGATTGTTATGAACTAATGCAGATAATTAGCGCAAAGACAATGATCTTTAAAAGTAACAGGAACCTCTTTGGCCTGGTTCTCAGAAAACACAAATCTACAAGAGAACTCTGCTGAGAGATAGAACTAATGGAATCACTACATCTTATTAGACATTTAAGGAGGCTTTATGGAAACATCTTCTGCACAGCCAGAAAAAAATTAAAAATAACAAACCACATTTGTCTCTAATATTTGTAAAGCAGGACATACACTTGTCCATGGCAATCTGGCAACTATGTCCATTCAATGAATCTAAGAATACAGCTTAAGACTAATTATGAACAGGAAATTTTCAATCTACTCCTCTAAATTCCTTTTACATTTTATATTTATTTTAATGTTGGTAAAAACCTGATAGCTTTTTAATTAGCTACATGGGCCAGTGCTATCACTGCTTTGTTCATTAATTTTATCTTGAATACAGTTTATTTAAAGTTTATGCTAATTAGCTATATGCATATTTAAGAGAACAAAGACCACAAAATTGTATACGTCACATTTTTCCCTATATAAATTTCAGGTGTTTATGTTGATGCTTTAGGAGACTTTTCCATGAAATAAAAAAAAAGTCCTGTCAATTATTTGTGACCTTTCTTTCACTTTTATTATCTATGATATAACTTTCCTCCTTTAAATTACTTAAAATCATGAATGGGAAACAAAGTTAATAACATATCTGAATCCTATCAATTTAAGGATAAATTGCATTAACAGTACAGGTTAATCTAGTAAATATAGATCATAGGAAGACTAACAAGAATAAAAGTAAACCCAGAATAATGATTATAAAATGGTCAATGGACAACTAAATTAGAGACAGGTGGAATCTGAGACACAACCTGGTCTAATGCCCTTGTTTCTTTCTTTTACAGATGAGAAAACCAAGGCTCCAAGAGATAAAATTCCCAAGTTACACAACTCATTGAAAAAAAAAAAAAGGCGAGACTAGAAGTTAGGTTTCCTAACTCAAAATTCTGTGGTATTTTAAATATAACATAATACATTTTTAATAAGCATTAAAAAAAAATCTGCCAATTTAAAAAACAGAAATTATTTAGCTCTGAAGTTCTTTTCTTTAAAGCCAATAAGCACAGCACAAAGAAATATTTGCATTTAGCAATATGAACAAACTTACTTATATAACAAAAACCCCAGGGCAATAATAGTAATAATAATAATAATAATAATAATAATAGTAACGTAGTTCACCCTACTTCAGAAAATAGGGCAAAATAACAAGTTTAAAAAATATCACTGTTGCTGCCGTGAGTCGCAGGCAACAGCATAAGCTGCAGCCCCTGCTGTTATGGGTTGCCATGGGCTACCATGTGTAGCCAGCAGCCAGCGTGAGCGGCCATCCAGAGGCCAGCGACTGATCTGCCTTGCCCGGGAAGAACGCAACGATGGTACCAACTTGGGCCAGTGAAGCAACATCCTCCACAACTAGACTGAAGAACAAAAGGACAGCAACTTGTCTGTTCCCCTTCCCCCAATTCCCCA